AGATAAGTTGTTACGCTTCCGCGCGCTGAACTAGTCTGCGCGTCGCCGCAGCATGGATCTCCTGACCCGGCACTTGAGGGTGGTTTCCTCTAGAGCGGCCATTAATTCAATTTCTCTTCAACCTCTTGCAAGCTGTAATAAATTTTCCTAGAATTATAGAGCCTCTTTCGTTGACAGGGCCTTATCGTTAGGCTTGCAGCGAAGGGTGCAATAAGGGTTTGATGGGGCGTCGCATCGCTGCTGACGCATAACTCGTCGAAATTCCAATCCTGTATACCCGACGAAGTATACCTTGGGCCAAGGAAACGGCCACTCCAGTTTGTTGGGAAGGCGTCCTTCTGGCACATTTCGTTCCAGCTCGAACATCGTCCAAAAGAGGAAAAGCCGCCGAAATGGTCGATTACGAGGACGAAGTGGATGTGGAACTTCGCAAAACCCATGATAGATGCTGAAAGTGGATGAAAATACAGTGCTCGGTAGAAAAGTACCCTTTACAGGACTGGCTCATTGTCCATACCTGAAAATGATGCTGCTAATCCAATAACCCATGACCACATCGACAGAATAGTGCACACGTGAGATCACAACACAAATCATGGCGAAAATGCAAGATGTAATGGCTATTACTCTGAAAAATACGGGCGCTATCCGGCTCGGAGGGGCATTTGCTCTTTCTTCCTTAACAAGGTGGCTGGTAAGGCTAAGCTGACCATGAGTACTATTCACTGCCCCCACCAAAGTACGGAGCGTTCGGTTTATCATCCTATCAAGGGAATACGCCACGCATGAAACTCTACTCGGATTCCAAGTCCTCTGATAGAACGCTATCAACTTAAAGAAGAAATTGCAGAGCCATCTGACGGGTAGAGCTTCCTTCTGCCACGTGCGCTTTGTTCCAACTGACAGCCCTCCGCTCGGAGTGATTGAAAGCAGGGTACATCATCGTGATAAGGGCATGGAGCACGTTGGGATTCCCTGGGAGGTGTGGGCATGATACTTGAATGGCGGGGCGTCGTAGCACAGGTGCGGGGAGATCATATTTTGCAACGGGCCGCTGAGCGTGAGATATTAAAGACACATGGTACGCTCAAACACATTGAGGGTGTATGAGACTATCAGCCCCCAGCTGTCGATGTGTCGTGGTCCCCCCGCCCAAACATGCCCAGGAATGGAGATACAGGACCGTGGGAAAGGCTTATTCCTTGCTACTCCGCCCAAAATTCACCGCGCGCGAGTTGCATTTCGCCGCGCGCGCGGTGAATTTTGGGCGGAGTAGCAAGGAATAAGCCTTTCCCACGGTCCTGTATCTCCATTCCTGGGCATGTTTGAGCGGGGGGACCACGACACATCGACAGCTGGGGGGCTGATAGTCTCATACACCCTCAATGTGTTTTGAGCGTACCATGTGTCTTTAAATGTGCTATGCTGACGGTGTTAGTGCACCCTCCCCTTGCCTAAGTGTGTTACATCTGGTAGTCTGATGCGACACCATTCCTTCTCCTTTCTACCGTCACATGCCTGTACTGATTTCCGAGCGAACACTTACCCACCAGAGAAGCTAGAAAGGGAAATTGAGATGGAGAGACACTCATCAACACATGTCGTTTTTGGGCGAGAATTCCTGGTTTTAGGAATTTTTCTTTTTCGAAGGCGAAAACGATCATCTTCCCGCGCGACCGAGTACGACCTGCCCCCTGATGGGGCTCTACCAATGATGTTGTACCCTGATTGAAAGCCTGGTCGGTATGAGCGGGCTTACATAATGGTCTCATGCGGCTAAAATCCGCTGGATAACAACTTTGTAGTCAAACGGGTGGGGGGGGGGGGTCTTGTGAAGAACTGTCACACTGCCGAAAGTTCGTGATAAACCCACTTCAGAGGCCATAAAGAATGCGGTGTATAGTAGTTGAGGAAGAAGCAACTGGTTGAGATCGCTGTGGTATGTCCGGAAAACAACATATCACCACAATGCAATTTATGGTGATTCAGTGAATCCACTTGTAAGCCAAACTGTAAAGAGTAAAAAGAGAGTAAGAGTAACGAGTACAAAACATCTATCAGTACACAACAACAATTCAATATGGGTTTTCTTCTACGTTTCCAACGGCGCCCCAGCTTTTCCCATCTCTGCTGAGTTAGCTGGCACCTTGACAGTCGTACTTGACCTCCACTGACAGTCGCGAGGTGTGCCTCTCAGCCGAGTCAGCCAGTGGGTTCATACCGCGTTCATACCTTGCGGCAGCGTCCACTAGCATATACCAGCGACCATCACATTTCGAGCGCCTGTCAGCGTCAGCGACTGGGAAACTATGTATAGATATCGATCTAGCGAACGGCAGCGTCTATCTGCGCCTACCAGCATCCACCAGCGTACACCAGCGATCATCAACGTCTCGAGGGGCTAAAAAGTCTCTTGGTTTGGTTGGATTAGGCGACGTGCAATCGTGCAGCCGCACCATATTGCTACACAATAAAGTAGTCCTGGTTGGTGGACGCCGGTGGTCGCTGGTGGACGCTGGTAGACGCTAGATCGATATCCATACTTTCCAATTCCTCGAGATGCTATGGTCGGTGGCGGACTCTGGTGGACGTTGGTAGATGCTGCCTAGATCGATATCTATGCTTTCCCAGTCGCTGGCGCTGATGGTCGCTCGAAATACGCTGCCGCAAAGTATGAACGCAGCCTTGTGGCTCTGAGCTGGGTCAACAAGTTGGCTAATGCCATGCATACTTAGCTATGGCCGCAGCCCGGATCTCTTGACGCCAGCGCTATAGGGCGATCCGCGCTTGCAATGAGTTTTACTTGGAGTCCCCACTCGTCACCATCATTAGACGTGATATGACCACTAAGTAACCTACTCCTTTTTGTTAATACTTAGGGGGCGCATGAGCTACACGATCGTTGTTCTCCGCTGAGCACGAGAATTTTCAGTGAGAAAAATTGACTTACTGTGTACGAGATGGTGAGAAACTTGGACAGAACGCTGAATAAGCTTGGATTAGGATCTGGATTCGGCGGAACACAGATGCTGGAATATACTTGTAAACTGAGATAAGTATATCGTCGTTGCTGCAGCCTGGTTGAGCGTTCGTATCCAGAGGACCAATGAGTTGAGAAAATCCGCAAAAGGAATAGGATAGGTGTCTACTGACATGATCCGCCTTATGCGTAATTGCTTCTACGATCAGTCTCTCTCCGCAACGATGGAAATATTCCTCCATTGGGAAACTGCTGACGATGAGCGTCAGTACAGAAAAATTCTTAAGGGAGTCAAGCTGCGCATGAATGCAGACTTCTTGCCCACATTGAAGGAACGGTCCACGATGAGCTATGAAAATGCAAGAGGTTATGTGGGAAGGTAGTGCGGTCCGGAGTGGACAACCCTGTGCCAGTTTCGCGGCGGAAAGTTGTACGGTAAAGGAATTAAGGCGCAAAGTTGCTTCAGTGGTACATCCCTTTTTCCAGTGACTCCGCCTCCAGACTCCGCCTCCAAAGTCGGCCTTCCAGCCAAATGCTCCCGGGCAAGTATCATGGAGTGGATGCATTCAATGTCTCTTGTAGAGTCATAGGGTTCATTACTGGGAATCAGCCGACGGGAATCGTCCCAACGCGCGATCTCTTAGGCTGCGTTTATACTTTGCGGCAGCGTAGCGTAGCGCTTCCAGCGTACGCCAGCGGCAGTGTCGGGGAAAGGATAGATATCGATCTAGCGTTCCCAGCGTCACCAGCGTACGCTGGCGTAGCGAGGGCACGGGAAGCATAGCTATCGATCTAGCTTCACCAGCGTTTCTCCGGCGTTTTCCCTTCCCGTGCCCTCGCTACGCTAGCGTACGCTGGTGACGCTGGGAACGCTAGATCGATATCTATCCTTTCCCCGACACTGCCGCTGGCGTACGCTGGAAGCGCTACGCTACGCTGCGCTACGCTACGCTACGCTGCCGCAAAGTATAAACGCAGCCTTACCTCTACAGTTGTTTGAGGCTAGAGGAGGCGTTTCCAACGTTCCCTTTAGCATTTTCTCTTCATAATCAATTCACTTGGCAAATTTCCTTCAACATTTCTACAACATCACCTGGGCTTTTTATCGTGGACCGTGCCTTTAATGCGGACCGTTTTCAGCAACCTAAGATTACGTTTTAACAGCTCAACATCAAAAACAGCACCGAATAAGACTACTCAACCACGGCGTGTCCTGCCAATCGAAGTTAAACGAACTCAATCCCAATCCCGTTATTGCGAAATCCTGAAGGAATATGAGTTAGACAAATGCTGATAGCACGCATAATATATAGTACTGTAAGAATGTAGCAAAGTCGCCGAGTGACGATCCATCTGAAAGAATCAAACTTGCTAGTTGTACTTGCTTCCGGGTTGCTTCCTCGATTATTCAGAGTTCAAGCTCTTTAATCGCAAACAAACAGATTGCAGACTAACATAAGGCGTTGCTTTCCTCTTCGACGGAGTATACAAGGGGGGGGGGGCAAAAAGATACTATTTTCCTCGACTTTCAAGGCGAATAAGTTACACTTCATTAAATTCTGATTGGACATTTCCACCATCAATTCAACAACACATTGTACACTATCACGAAACTCCGCCACAGCCTTCTGGACGAACGCCATCGAGAGATTCTGCCACGCGACCGTGATTCGGTGCCTGAGTTCAGCGAGGTCGTTGATTTCTCCGCCTTTGTAGACCACCCTGTTGAGCTGCTAGGACCCGGTAATCAAGGGGTCAAGTGACACACTTATTATTCAGTCTCAGTCTTCTTCAGGTACTCAACGCCCTTCCATTCCGAGTAGGCGAGGGTTTTTCGATTCCATGTGCTGGCACCCAATCCTGTAGCAGTACGAGGTTTTCCAAGGGGGTACACGAAACGATGAGGGCAGGATATTCTCCTCGAGCTGTTCGATGCTAAACGTCAGTGTTCACGTTCGATCCGTGGTTCACGAAGACAATATCGGTCTCAACATTCCAGGAACTTCCGGTCCACACCATCAACCTCGCCTTGACGAGTGGAAAGAAGATGGTATCCTTGACCCTAGCGACACTGTCGGAGCTGAGGTATGTGAGCTGCAGCGAACACCTCTGTTTAAGCTTTGAGGAAGTGACAAGGTAACGGCAGTAAGGTTCAAGGTTGCTCAGTGACTCCGCCCGTGTTTGTGATGTCTTATTTACACTCCCCTTCGTTTGCCTACCCTCTCGCTGTTTTCTCTAGCCTCTCCCGCGATCCACTTTGATCGTTTGCCTTTCCGTGGCACGAGTAGGGCCTTATTTGAAGATATCTTGACGGTTTTCTTTGCTTTTTTTCACGACGAGTAAATTAGCACATACAATTCCATTTCTCTACCCCTTACCCAGGAATTTAACGCTGGCTCGTGGTGAAGTGTGTCTTCATCTAGCTTTACGGGAGAAATCCCCGGATGATCTCATGGACCAAGTTGACCACCAACTCCCACCCACAAAAAGCAAGTACGACCCCCTGTTGAGATGCTCCTAATAATACGGTTCTCTGTTTAGAGGCAGCAGTGCCGTAGGAGCAGTCAGAGGAGAAATTAGCGCAACTGAGTGTCACCTTCGGAATAAACTGGTGATTTGGCAAGAAGTAAGGAACTAGCGAAAGTACAAAATGCCCCCCCCCCTTTCTGTTGAGAATGATAAAAAGCAAGATAAGAAGGAATAGATGACCTGTATTTGTGAAATACACAGCAAATCAAGAGAAGTAAAAACACCGCTGCCGTTGCAAATATATCTGCCATGAGTCTCAAAAAGTCGTTTTGAGGGATGATAGAGTGTGTCAAGTCAGGAAGTGGCAAACTAAATGGAAGATTACTGGGTGTTGATCTCTTGACGGGGCATTCAAAGCACTCCTTGTGCAAAACTAGAATTACCGTGCTGCGAATGGAACCATCTAAAGTTGCTTTACTAACCACGAATCGTAGCTCGTTCCACCCATTAGTTCCCGCTTTCACATTCTGCGGCAGCGATTGTCCAGCAGCGTCCAGCAGTGGAGAGTCTGGTACAGTAGTAGGATACCCTCCTACTTTCCCAGACTCTGTACCCTCTCTAGGGTAACATACTGCTGGTATACACTCTATACCAGCAGTCTGTTACCCTCCTATCTCCCCATACTCTACCAGCTGTCTGCTACCCTCATATCTCCCCACACTCTCAACTCCTGGACGCTGCTGTTCGCTGGTGGACGCTGGTGTACGCTGCTGGCGCTTCCATAGCGGTTGAGGAGCTGCTGGTCGCTGAAGGGTAGCTGGTAGAGTGTGGGAAGATAGGAGGGTAGCAGACATTGAGAAGCTGCTGGTCTCTAATGGGCGCTAGTGGAGCTAATCGATATCATAAATTTCTTATTTGCGGCATGAAGGGGCGCTGAAAACGCTGCTGGTCGCTGGTAATCGCTGCCGCATAGTATGAACTCAGCGTTATGGTTAGGCAAAGGCCTTTATCTCTATCACAGTTATACTCATTCACAGAAGAGTCCTTTAGATGCCTCTTGCAGATTATTAAGCGACGCAGTTACTGTAAAGAAGTTGAGGCATTGATAGCAACTCACCGGCTGATTATATCTGATATCACGGCGAGTACAAAGTGATTAATCAACATTGCGATGACGAAACACATCATGTCACGAATGTTTTAAGACGTTCTCGCCTATATTCGAGCTCGTCCTGTTGTCGTAGTGGAATACGAACTGTAGTTGTTTCATCTGAAACTAGGTTTGTGAAGGATGACAGCCAATGAGGGCGCAGCTGGCGACGGGAGGGCATTTTGCACTTTCCCTGCTCCACTAGTTCTGGTTTAACAAGTCTCACTCTGGTGAAACGTGATTTCTTGTGAAACTGGAGTAAGCTTGTCGGGCTGCCACGGTGAAATTTGTACTTGTGAGCTCACGAAACAGCTCTCTAGATAATCTACACGTCCATGGGACATAGCAAAGGTGCAGCATGTCCCCTTCCCCCTTCCCGTAGCCGACTGGTCCCACATAATCAATTCTAGTTTATTAGAATCTTTACCGTAGATTTTTTTGGTATGGCTCAAAGCGAATCGAAGCATTTCTAACGTCGTGAACTTTGGACGAAGTGATACATGCAAATTTGTGTCACGTGCGCCGCATTTGCACCAGAACGTAACTGATTCAAGGGGGTCAGACAAGAGAAACTTCACACGGGCGGTGACTCTATGTGTGGGTGTGGAGCGTGAGTTTCCAGTCACGGTATCCCACTATGAGTTGACTTGGGAGATGCGTGCGCGGCAGCGGCGACGTGGGTCCTTGCAATGTTGAATTAGAAGTAGCACATATCCGCAATCAATGGAAACAAACACTAAAACCTGGTGTTAATTTGTCGCTGATGGGCAGCGAAACCTATGCGATCTGAAGGGGGAATCGGGGCTCATACTCTGCGATATGGATCTTTCTCATCCGTAACATGTCAGTCGTACTAGCAGTGCACAACTCGTCTCTTGCCGGCGCGGCGTATTACGATTGTCCTGTCACCTTCCCCTTGAGGGGTCAAGGTGGCAATGCTGCCGCGTGTTAGATCAACCAGCCACGTAATACATAAGGAAAAAAATGCAGGCTTGCGGCTTACGGTCGTCGACGACTGACGCGATGTCGACGGGCTGACTGAACTGGTCCACGGTATGGCAGGGCACGCCATCTTTGTGATCATCACAACAGGGGGGTCGTATTTGCCCGCGATGGAGGGGGGGGGGGTCGTAAACGCATGGCCCATGTTGAAGTGGAGAGAGCGGTGATACACGTACGAGTTGAAAAGAAGCTCATCGAAAAAATATCGCTGAACCTTTGTTCCCATCCTTCCTCACAAAAAACCTGGAAGACATTGCCCAAACCTCCTCAGTGTCTAGATAAATCCCAATCCACTAATCCGCAAAATCTAGAAAAGAATCCATTGCAAAAGCTACTATGAAAGCGTAAAATTGAATCCTGAGCAATTTCCCACAACGCAACCAAAACAAAACCAAACTCAACAAAACAAACAATCAAAACTCACAATCAAATAAGAAAAAGAATAAGATAAGAAAAAAAACTCACCAGGTCAGCTGGGAACCGGAACTATGGATTACTTTTGAATTTTGGCTGTTCGCGGTCAGCGCGCTTATACAAGCTCATTGGTGCCGCATTTACGTTTGGAGCCAATTTTCAAGCAACACGTGAAAAAAGTACCCCATTGAACACCCTAACTTGTTGAAGTGAAGGCTATCGAGAGGGTGAGTGGAATGAGTAGAGCTAAGGTTGGCTCTTGTCACCTGAATTGAGCGATTTCAAAAACGTTCCGATTCCAGAGATTTTCCCCGTTGTGATCATCGTTGTGATCCGTCTGTGATCATTTTTGCGAACCGCGAGTCGCTACGCTTTGGGACGTCGCATGCAAGGTTCATACCGGACTTTCGTAAAAGAACTGTGCCGGAAGCTTGAGAGTTTCTGGATTTCTAACAGGGCTTAATTCATTCCTAACCTAATACTGAAAAAATTCCCCGTTGTGATCATTTTGTAATCACCCCCACGACACCGAAAAATCAACCCCTCCGAGGCCATGAAACCTCCGGTTGGCTTGATGACTTTGGTATGCTTCTAAGAGACATGTTTTCGCAAAGGGTATCAGGAAATAGGCCACTGGGCGCCAATTGGAATCACCTCTGCAATGCGCCAATTGCTGGGCTCTCACGCAAGGGGTGTTTGGAAGGTGTAACTTCTAGATAGGGCTTCCCAATTGCAAGCAAATGTGCTCCTACGATCAGAAAAGTCCGGGAATGTACTTTCATCTGTTTATTAATCGTCACGTCGTGAGTCCTTTTGTTTGTTTATAAATTCATGGTGCCCTTGTGGGCGGTGATTGTAGCTCCTATCATCGTCCCTTCCTCGTACGTATTGTCAGTATGCTACACCAGCGCCAGAGTGCTGGACGTGCTTGGGACGTACGTGGTACTGCGACCTCCCCCCCCGGGAGGGGGGTCGTACTTGAAGATGGATATAGGGGGGGTCGTATTTTTCAGGAAATGATCACAACGCAATGGCGTGCCCTGAGTATGGAGCCGCGGGACTGAGGCCGTCCTCCCTAACCACACAGTCTGGCATCGATCGGCGAGGCCGCAATGCTTTGGGAGAGAGAAGGCACAGACTTTGTAGGCAGACTTACCCTCCTATTCTACCATACTCTCTCTCTCTCTCCCGAAACATTAGCGGACGAGTCCGATCGATAGCCTCGGTGGCTGCGTTTCCGTTCACATGAACGCTGTTGGCAGACGGTGGTTCGCGTTAGAGTCTCGTTACAGAGCAGGGCGGAAGCGTTGCGCGCGCGGAGTAGGGCAAAGCAGGCGTTCGATGACTTGACGACGGGACCAACCACTGATTTGAGCATTCGTCAGCGCGAGCGACCCAGGAGAAAAAAAAAAAAAAAAAAAAAAAAAAAAAGAGGTGGTTTTAAAAAAAAAAAAAAAAAAAAAAAAAAGTTTGGGGTGTGTTGTTAAAAAAAAATAAAAATTGGATGGAACCCCCCCCCCCCCCCCCCCCCCCCCCCGGGACAAGCGAACGGCAGCGTCCGTGAGGCGACATCACGTGGGGGCTAGAAAAGTATGGATATAGTTCCGCGTCTACAGCTCCTGATCAGCAGACCAGGAGTAGATATATATGAGGCGGTGGCGCAGCAGACTGCAGAGTATGGGGGGGGAGCGAGACAGTTGGATTAGGCGTACGAAACTGTGGAATGTGCAGCCCGTACCGTACTGCTTCATAGAACCAAACACCTTGTCGCTGGCAGACGCTGGATCGATGTATATATTTACTCAGGCCCTCGAGACGTTGATGGTCGTGGTGGACGAGGTGGACCCTAGTGGACGCTGCTGCAAAATACGAAGGCAGCCTAACGCTATGCGAATTTGGTCCGCCAGGAAAACTGGCGCGATTAGGCTTCATGAAGTCATTTTGCCAAACTGCATAATTGGTTATTGCATGATCATTATATCGTGCCTATATGACGCTGGCGAATTCGTAAGCTATGCAATAAGCAGGAGCGTCGTTTTGAGCTAGTTAAGGGGCAGAAAGTGAGAGGAAGTGGGCGAATGGCAGAAGTGCGAAATGCGCTCCACAAGCCGAAGCGCTGGAAACTTTCTACCAGAAAGGCGTTTAGCATATATTTCAAAACCTTACTAGCTCTAGCATACCTCTGCATTCACAACATTGCTCGATGATCACTTTTGATGGGCAAGCACATGGCGTTGCTGCTGCTGCGAAGGACTGTACAAGACAAGGAATTAGTTACACATAGGCAAAAAGGTATTAGTTTTTAAGATATTTTCAGGCAAAACAACAGTGAAACAAACGTGGCCGTCCTTTTTCTAGAGAAGAACGGAACGGGAGAACGAATACGCGTTAGTAATACGAGGGGGGGGGTCGCAGACATGGTGATTTCTTTCGATGTTTTCCCTGCTTTTTTAACTTTTCACAGTCGTGTCTCACTCTGCGATTCCTGTAAACCCCTGTCGAGCTTGGCGAGTTGGGACTAACGTCATTGGCGCCATTTCTTCTCTTTTCAAATCTCAACTAGTCTTTGGGAAAGTTTGAGTTTTCAGGGTGCTTAACAGGTGATATCAAGGCTGGCCGTTGACAAGTCCCGAGTGTCTATTCACATGTATACATGTATACGCACAGTTTACAGGATGGGTATGTTTACAAGCGCTCATAGGTACGCCCCCCCTGCCCCTCCTCAAGCGCCTGAATGAGCGCTTT